AGGTTTTACTATATGATTCATTGAAGTTTTAATTTTTAAACTGAAGCTTTCTTACAAAAATCATCTGTAAATCAAATATTTTTTATATAAATTAAGATGATTTCCACTTCTTATTTGATTATTAAGTAAGATTTAACAAATTGAATTTAAACAGTACTGAGTGTAAACTCGGAATGTTGTCGTCTTAAATAATTCAGGCTGTATTCACAAATGTAACATCCCTGGCCTAGTAAGCAAAATCTTTCTAAGCACTTAAACAACTCTTACAAGTCCATTAAAGTTACAAATGTTATTACCCTAAACACTCCCATTCTTTTTACAATCTGAATTCAGTTTTCAAATCTTTTATCTTAAAAATCTCAAGTCAGAAATCAGTACTCATTTTAAAATCGAAATCACAAGACTGGTTTTCACATTCCCTAATATGTCATATATTCTTTTAGATATTATAAATATACAGACATCAGAAAACTTTCTTTTTAAATAAAGCGAAGTATTAATATTGTGATTTATTTCATCATCTCTCTTCATCTTTTTAAACCTTTCCAGGATTTAAAGTCATTACTTCCATTTATCGTCTCAGGTGGGCCCAGGACCAGCCTATGGTTTTGCTCGGTCAGATTCAAGACCATGATGCAGGAATGGGTAACTCCAGAGCCACAGCTGACAATACTGCAGCTCTTTCTGCTGTGTCATTGGGGTCCCTCAAGCCTCTGGGCTGGAATCTCATTTCACCACACAGTAAACATACATCCTCTGGGTTTCTTTCAAGTTTCAGTTGTAATCAGTTTTTGTAACCTCTTGCAACATTGATTGCCCGACTTGGGTCAGTGGACTTATGTACCCCATCCCAGGTTGTACCTAATTTCCTTTGCCACTTGATTGGATCCACTAATGTCCTTGCTGCCTGAATGGGTTCTGCATGCCTTCCACATTTTTCCTGTCTGACTCTTAGCCACACGTCTGGAGTCCCTTTATAAACAAATTGCAATTCCTCATTAGTTGGCACAGGTATGGCAAGTGGTTAAAAAAAAAAACTAAGCAAACCAGTTTTGAGCAAAAGAAAGGAATGTGTTAGTTCTCATAGTTTGGGCTCCAAGGGGTGCTCCGGCTTCAGGTACAGCTGGATACAGGAGCCCACTAGGCGTCATTCCTCAGGACTCTGCCTCCCTCTGCTCACAGCCTTCTCGGGCTGCTGTGGATCGAGTAACTGCTGACAGCTGTAGGTTTCAATTGCATTTTTTCAAGAGTTGTGTTTTCATTCTTAGCATCTCCTATGTGGTCATATAAGTTTGGGAAATACTGTTTTAGACAACAGTAAAGAGATCATTCCAGGACTCCGCAGCCAGTAATATGTACACATGCAACACGAATCTCTAAGAGGGGCACAGGAGAGCCAGCGTGCTCATGTCCCCTCATCAAGGCAGCATCGTTATCACCGAGTATCTTGTGGAACTGATTTTCCTTAGAATATAACTTGGAGCTCACTGACCATTTATACCCTGAATTTTGGGGCAAAAGACAAGTTGAAACTAAGTGGTTTTATATCTAGATAGACTTGGCAGTTTCTTAGAAGATCCAGAAGTGCAGGAGACATAGCTGGTTTTCAGTGTCTGGCACACGGGCAACTTGGGAGGCACTGAGGCTGCTCTTGCCCGGCATGGGCTTCCCTTGGTGTCACTGCCCCTTCATCGCATCACCAGTTCCCCCGACTCTCACTCTTCTGTGGGGCAGATCCCTGACCCCTACCCTTCGGGGCCAGCTCTGTTACAAGGACTTCCTGTAAACTCAGGATAAGCTTTGAGATGCCCTGGGCACCGAGGGGAAGAGTCATGTGTGGTCAGTGCCCTGAGCCCCACTGGAATAATAGCCTGGTGTTGAAAGGCCACAGGGGAAAAGCGGGTACAGTTTCAAAGCAAAAAAATCTGAGATTGGATTCACGGGCATCTGTGACTAACTTCCGTCCCTCTTCCCCACCAGCCACACTCCTGTCCCATCGGTCCTCGTTCTTCATCAGATTACAGGAAATTTTAGCGACATGAAATTCCTAACGCCAGAGCCAGTGCAATTAAAGACTCGTGGGATTTCCATTTAATCATGAGAACAGATCTGAGTGCTTTTCCATCCGTTATGTCTTTCTTTCCCCAGCCATGGTGGTATCATCCACGTGCCACCCCTAAGGAAGCTGAGGCACAGAGTTGTGACTTGTCAAAGCATGAAATGGTGAGGGAGCTGGGCTCCGAATTCAGTGCTGGTGGTGAGTTTGCATCAGAACATGGCCCATCTCTCCTCTGCACATGAGTTCAGGCAGGAGGCATTTAATAAGCACATACTATGTGCCTGGAGATGGAGGAGAGGTGCCTCACAAGGTGAGGTTGACTTTGCTGCAGTGCCACACTGTAGGTGGTGGCAGGGGAAGAGGTGGGCCTGGACTTAGGTAATGCTTCACCCTCAGTTTGGCCTACATTTGCAGGGTGACCTTGGACTATGGTTCTCACAGCCTCAGTCTCCTTGTTAGGAAGCAAGGCCACCTCTGAATATATAGGAGAGTTGATGAGCATACGTGCAAATGCTGGTCGGTTGACATGTGGCGGGTTCTCGGTGAATGGCCCTTGCTGAGAAAGGCAGTGCCATCCAGAATAGACGGAGTGTGTGCTCTGAAATTGGACAATTCTGCATTTTTAAACCCAGTTCCAACATTGACTGAAAAAAGCTGGTCACAATACTGACTCTTTCAGCCTAGATTTCTTCATCTGTGACATGGAGAGGATAATAGGTCCCTTGTAGGAATGAGGTGAGGCCTGGAGAGATGTATAATATAGGTAAAGTGCCCAGCGCGGTGCCCGACACGGGACGCACTTAGCCGCTCTCACCAGGCAGCCTCTGCAGGAATTTGGAAGGCGGGACAGACCTTTCTGTGTGGAAAACTGGAAAATTGTATGAGTGTATAGAAATGGGTCCAGATGTGAGACTGGGAATTCAGAGTACGGGGTGCTCAGGGTGGGCCCGAGGATTCAGAGCTTTGGCAGCGGACTCACATGAGCGACGTTTGCTAAGCCCGCGGAGCCTGCGGCCTTCTGCACCCTGCGACTTCATCCACAGCAAATCGCTCTCCCAGCCTTCAGGCTCCCTGCCTTTGTCCTTCCTCATTTCTGGGGGACCCTCCAGGTGGGCTTTGGGAAGCCAGATAGGAGCCCCGAAGGGAAAGCTGATGAAAACAGGTTTTCACCAAGCCTTTGTCATCCTGCCTGACCCGCAGAGCTCAGGGAGGCGCCTTGTAATCGCTGGAATGAATCTGAGTTACTGGGGGGCGGGCCTCAGCCTCCCGGCATCTCTGAGGAATTAGGCTGCCGCTTTACAGGCAAGAAACCAGCAGAGGGCTGAGTGGTGGGCACAGTGGCTAAGCTGGTGCTTTGCTGCCAGGCAGCCCTGGGAGTAGAGACTGGCGTCGCCGCTCCCGCTGTGCCATGTTGAACCCAGCGCCTCGCAAGCCTTGGCTTCCTCCTGGGAAGTGAGCCGTGTCATGTCCCATGCGCCCTGGAAATTGCCATAAGGAAGGCCGTCTGGCATCACAGTAGAGGCCGACTCCAGAGTCACAGTGGCTGCATCCAGGTCCTGTTCCACCTCTTACTAGTGGTCTGGCCTTTCTACACCTCAGTTTCTCCACCTGTACAATAGAAAAGCCATAGTACTTTGTTTTCTCTAGATCAAGTAAAGCAGTATTGGAAGCTTACTTTGTAGCCCCATGAGTCTAAATCATCTGCTCTGTACCTGCCACCCTGCAACCAAAGGAGAAAATGCAGCAAGCTTGATTTGGGGGGCAGGGGGGCTGTACATAGATGGGCAGGGAAGAAGGCCTTTCTGAGGGGTGACACCAGATGAGGCAGGGGCAAGTATCCAGAAAGAGGGACAACAAATGGAAAGCTCTGAACACGTGAACCATGTAGCCAGAGCCAGCAAGAAATGGCAAGGCTGGCCGGAGACAGGACTAAGGAGGGAGATGGATCAGAGGGTCGTGAGGGCTAGAGAAGGAGTGTGGGTTTTAAGTACCCAAGAAGCCACTGGAGGATGTGAACAGTGGAGTGGCAGGACCTGACTCATGTATGTTTCAGATACAGCTGCTGGGGGGAGAATGGGTTGTTTTAGAAGTGGAACCCAGAGCTCAGCCGACCTGTGGGCCATAACCTGGAGTCGGTAGCAGCTGGAACTGTGGGTGACAGGTACACACTGGGATACACATTGCAGGCAGAGGTGGCAGGACCAGGCAGGGGATTTAGATGTCTTGGTGGTGTGGGAGATGGTAAGGGGGAAAAAGAAAGGTTGTCCGGAGACTTTTCTTGGGTGGGGGGTGAGGGGGACTGGGGTGGTCTCAGTGGATTTGAGACTCGGGCAATGAAGAATTCTACTTTAGATGTATCCAGGTATATTATTAGAGTTAGAGCTACCAATACAGTTGACAGGTTCCTGCTGCCTCTTGCAGCTTTCATTCCCTTGGCATTTCACCCAGGAGTGGAGTCCAGAGCATTCATACAGCAGTGAGATTCCTTCCTACTCACTCTGACCCCCAGGAGGGTGCTGCTTTCAGCTCTAGTCTCCAAAGCCACTGCTCATGCTCCGTCACGAGGCCTGGGAAGTAGCCATTGACCTTTATTAAGTTACAAGATGAAGTTGTGGATGGGGTAGGAAATGGGTAGTGTCTTAGCCACCTCTGCTCGGGGAAGCACCCAGCCTTTGGGGGAAGGTCTGTATCAGCCCCTGGACCCAGCTGCCAGTCCAAAACAGCAGGGATGGTGGCTCCCATGGAGATGAGTCACATCAGAGGCAAAGAGCTTTGTCTGGGGCTTCATGACCCAGGGAGCCTCGGGCATGGTGTGCGTGTGTCCGCACTGTGAGCCTGAGTGGCGCAGGGAGCCCTGGGGATGGTGTAGCTTTGTCTGTACCGTCAGCCTGAGCTGGCGCAGTGGGAGGTTCTGGTGCTCAGCATGTGTTTGTCTTGGCAGCTGGGATGACAGCAGCTCCGTCAGCAGCGGGATCAGCGACACCATAGACAACCTCAGCACTGATGACATCAACACCAGCTCCTCCATCAGCTCCTATGCCAACACACCTGCCTCTTCTCGCAAAAACCTGGATGTACAGGTAAGAAACAGCGTTCCCCCCAGGCTCCTCCAGAGGCCCTGCTAGCAGAGAGCCTTGGGCCTGTGGGCCCAGGGGCCATTTGGGGTGAGCAGAATACCCAGGTCCATGAGATGAGGCCCAGCCTCCTGCGTCTGCCTGGTCTTTTGTCCCCTTACTGTGGCCTCTACCTGCAGGGAAAGGGGGTCAGGCAGCAGGGCGCTGGAAATGGGAGCGGGGAGGCCTTGCCATGTGCACTGTGGTGGCCTTGGTAAAATCATGCTTCCTTTCAGGACCTCAGTTTCATAATCTGTATTTTTTTAAAAAGATAAGATGCTGAACTCAGTTGGCCATTCTTAGCCTGGAGTGTGTGCCCCCTCTTAGCTATCCACAGGCACATGTCTGATCCCTTGAAAGCTATGGGGTGGAAGAAAGACTGAGAGTCTCGATGGGAAAACCTGTGCATCCTGACCAGAGATTGGGAACTGTCAGTGTGCAGGTCACATCCTCCTGACGATGTGTTTTATTGAGCCCGTGGTGTTATTTTTCTTTTAAACAGAATTCCTTGTCAAATTTTATAAATTGGTTGTTTTACATGAAAACGAACTTCTGGTTTCTCTTGAAAAAAATCAGAAGATATTGTGTCCCTGAGCCTTCGTTCTCCACATGGCGACAATCAGCAATGCCCAGGTGGCCGCCTCCTTTGGCCTGGCACCATGCCCCAGGGTGCACAGCTGCCTGACCACGAGACGCTTGAGTTTCCAACCCCAACTTTAAATGCTCAGATTTTATCTTTTGAACATGGTGCCATATTATATTTTCTTTCAAGGCCATTTTGCGGGGGTCTGCTCACTCGCCCTCACGGCATTCCTCAGTGGTCAGTTGGGTCTAGTCAGCCCATTTCACTAGAGGCAAAGGCAAGTGCTGTGATCACACATAGTCCCCGAGTTGTGTCTGACCAGCACAAGGACCTGTCAGTCGTGGCACTGTCCTATGTGGGCTAGAATCTTTATCATGGTGGGTCCCTCCCACCCGTGGGGGCTGCTGCCTCCGTGAACCCATGTGAAGGTCTGATCCGGACAGAGTGTCCCAGAGAGACCTTGGGAGGGCAGAACCGGCTCTGCCCCCTCAGTTCACTCCCTCCCACATCTTCCTTTCTTTCTTGCTGTTTCTCACTCTGTACAGATGGGAACTGCTCTGGAATCTCTTTGCTTTCAAAAGTATCTTTTCTTTGAGGACAGGGCTAAAGTAAGGCTGTGTCAGAGTGTGGGAGTAATGCTGTCCCCCAGAACTGGAAGTGTTGAGTGCCTGGTGAAATATATGAGGTGTTGCCTCTGGATTGCCCGTGGCTTCTTGAGTTTTCGTTTTAGGCAGAATGTCTAATTATTGTTGGAGAGTGAGGATGGATTGTGGTGGTTGTTAAAGGGGAAAAAACTACCCAGGTTTGGCAAGTGCTGATAATGTTCTGTGTCTTGATTTCTGAGTGGCAGTTATATATGTTAAATTGATAAAATTTATTCAAGCTGTATACTTATGATTGTGTACTTCAGTATATGACTGTTGTACCTTAATAAAAATGTGTACAAAAGAAAAAACTAAGCCACACTGCCCCAGAGTGATCACTGTTTTAGCAGTAATTAGACACAAGTTAAAAACTCCCAGGCAGCCTGTGTCCCTCTCACCTCCCACTTGCCAAAGGTTGCAGCATCCACCAGTTTTCCTTTCCTGGTGGCCACCATTTTTTTTCTGAGATTAATCCTAATTTCATAACATATCTAATATAAATAACAACTGGCTTCTACATGTCCTTGGATGCTAAAATAAGGAATTGACCACCTGGGAGCCTGTGTTCAGGGGGCAGGCAGGTTACGGGAGGTACCTGAGAGCAGAGAGGGAGGGAGGCAGAGAGGAAGGGAGTGTGGGAGGGAGAGACATCAAGAGCCCAGTAAATCAGTAGTTCCTCTCCTGTTTCTATGCCAGGTAGGAACAGGCTCGCTCCTAAGATGCACACTGAGCAAACAAAACACTGTTGGGAGGATCTCCTTGTCTTTGTTCCCTCCCCACAAAGCCGGGGTTAGAATCTATTTTCCACATCGATGCAATTAATCTCTGGGATTTACAAATGATTTCCTATCCGATACACTTGAATCTGGTCCATACCGGGGTCCCCTCCTCTTTGACCCGCTCTTTGCTTTCCTCCAGCATAGGTCACATCAAAAAACGTTCAAGAATACATGTCTTTTGATCACGATCAGAAAGTTAATTTCAAGGGACTTAAACAGTTTAATATTCACTGGGCTGTTTTCGCTATAAAACTACCTGCGTTTAAAATATTTAAATAAAGTCTAAGCAAATAGGTAAAACGCAGACTTGCACCAATAGTCACTAAGATTCCTATGAAGATGGTTTCTTTAAATGATTTTTAGTGGCATCCCTTTGTCCCTGTCCAGGGAGCAGCTCCAAATATTTGAATCCCTTTAAATGGCAGCCTCCCCCCTCCTCCCCTGTACCACTCGGAGGGATGCTAAGGGCCATTACTCCTCTCCGATCGGCATCAGGCAGCGGGAAGATGTGTGTCGCTGTCCTTCCCCGGGCTCACTCAGGTTTCATCACAAACCGGTTTCCCCGGGTGAACGGCAGTAGACGGCCTCCCAGGCCAGGTACGGAGAGGCAGGGAGAAGTGGCTCAGCGTGTCGCCACGAAAACAGGTTACCTGCCTACGTTTTCATGTTTGAAAAGCCTCTGAAGAATAGCGAAAAGGAAACAGATCTAAGGAGAAGGCAGATACGGTCTGGAAAGCCTAAGGAGCAGCCTCATTTAGCTGATTGAAAGAGGAGGGGATGCGTAACGGAGGAGCGAGCCTTGTAGATGGAAGGCCCCTCCACCACCACCACGCCATCTGTAAGTGACCTTTTTTTAAAATAAAATAAAAATGTCCTTATTGATTTCAGAGAGAGGAAGGAAGAGGGGGAAAGAGAGAGAAATATAAATGATGAGAGAGTCACTGGTCGGCTGCCTCCTGCAGGCCCCCAAATGGGGATCGAGCCCGAAACCTGGGCATGTGCCTTGACCGGGACTCGAACCTCGATCTTGTGGATCATTGGTTAATGTTCACCCGTTGAGCCACGCCGGCCGGGCCGTCAGTGAGTTTTCCTCAAGGATGTTGAGGAGCCTGAGCTGCCCTCGCTGAGGCACAGGTGCCCAGCATTCAGCCTCAGGCGCCGTGCTCGCCGCGTCTCATGGAGCCGGGCAGAGACTCCCGGGCTTGATGCGCGGCAGCCTCTGGGCTGATTCCTCCAGGAGAGCTGGGGAGCCCAGGTCGGCCGCCGGACCAGGCTGCTGGGCCAGGTAAGAGGTGTGGACTTGGAAGTTAAGGTTGAGCTCCTCGCTCTGTGGCATCCTTGGATAAGCTAATGGACCTCTCCAAGCCTCTGCCTCCTTGTCGGTAAGATTACAGTAATTAGGTCCATCCTGAAGGGTGAGCGTGAGCGTCCATGGAAAAGCTTGATCTGCACACTCTCGCTCTCTCGGTCCTGGTTCTTGGTAGTTGCTCGGGAGTTACCTTGTTTCTTCATTTCCTCTGGATTACTAGTCCCTCTAGCTCCCTTGTCCCCATTTTGTGTGCAAGGTAATGATCTCAGTGAAGTTAAGCCACCTCCCCAGGGTCACACACAGCAAAGGAGTGGCCGCACTCTGTCCTTGAACCCAAAGTCCGGCAGACTCCAAGCCCATGCTCTCCCCCCACATCATGCGTGCAGCCTTCACCTCACAGCTCAGGCCCCGCTTGGTTCCACCCTGTCAACCTGAGGATCGGCCTCCCCTCTGCGGTCCCTAAGGAACCTGGGCCCTCAGTCATGACCTCTCCAACCTTCCAGGCCCTTTCCCCTCTCCTGTGTGGCTATTTCCTCACCTTCCCTCATGGACATTGGATAAGTAAATGGACTTCCAGGTAGGGGCATTAGGAAAATCCTTCTAAAATTAGGTGCCATTTGAGATAGGAACTCCTGACAAAGGCATTGAGAGCAGAGGGGAGGGTACAGCTCTGTGCATCCCGTGTGGCCATCCTGCTGGCCTTGTGCTATAAGCCCTGGAAACCGAGAGGCTGGGACTTTCTCACCTTTTGATTCCTAGTGATGCCACCGTGTGATCTGGCGCATGGCTTGGGGAGGGTTTGCTGAGGAGATATGAACTTGAAGCCAGTAATGTCCCAGGCAGAGAGATGCCCACTGTGCAGAGTAGCCCTGAGAAGGCTGCTGCCCTGGACCAGGTTGTGAGGGTGTGATAGTGGGTGATTGTTCTTTCCAGAGGGGGGATTTAAGCCATGGTCTTGAGCCAGGGCTACGTGCACTCTCTCTACCACTAGTGGAATCAGAGCTCTGGGGGTCCCACCCAGAGGTAGGCTGGAGCTGCTCTGGAGTTGGAGTTGGAGGACAACCAGCCAGCCAGTATGGAAAGAGAATCTACTGGGTGTTGGGATTGTGTCAGGAGCCGCTGGGCAAGCAGAGATGCCTCCTGTCCTTGGGCTTATTCTCCAAGATGGCACTGTGGCATAAAGTGGATAAAATGGAGACTCCCTGGAACCCTTTCACCTCCACTTCCTCGCTGTGTGACCTTGGATGCCTTTCTTTTCCCCTCTGTGCCTCAGTTTTCTCATGTCAAATTGAGACTATGAACTGTAACTTCCTCAGAGATTTTTGGCGAGGATTAAAGGATACATGCAAAGCACTTTAGCCCAGTGCCTAACACATAGTAAGTGCTTACTAAATGTTGTTATTGTTACTGCTATTAACACTACTACAATTTGATTGCGGGAAGCAAGGCATAGGAGTGAATATTATAAGCAAGAATGCAGTAACACAAGATGTGGTATGTGCTAAGTTTTCAGTCCCTCTCAGAGTATGTTGGGAAGTGTTAAAATGATTGAACACGATATCAATGATTTGTACCTGTGCTTGTTCACTGTAGTATTCCCAGTGCCCCAAAACTTGCCTGGTAAATATTTGTTGGGTGAATGCTTCCGAAGCCACTCTTTCCTGCCTCAGGGCCTTTGTTCATGCTCTTCCCCCTGCTTGGCATGCTCTTCCCTAAACACTTCTCTTAGTAAGTTTCTTCTCATTCTTTAGGGCACTTCTTCAAAAAGGCCTTACCTGACCACTGTCCCCACCCCCATTATCATAATCTAAACTATGTCAGTATCTGTATTTCTCTCTCAGACGCCTTGTCCTTATAACATTCTTCATAATTCACAATTCGTTATTTATTTGTATTTATCCACTCTCTGCCTCCTTCACTGGATCGTAAACTCCAGGAGTGGTGGGAACCTATCCCACCCACAGATCCTCAGATCCTCCATGGTGCCTGGCAGACAGTGGGCATTGAAGAATTCTGACTGAATGAGTATCCTGGAATTGTTTAGAGATGAAGACAGTACCACTTACCTACTTACCCTATTTGACCAGATGGTTGCGGGGATCAGATGACATCGTTTTGTTAAAACGTGCTGTAGCTTGAAAGGCATGTGTTCACGCATTTCCTCAGCGAGCCTCGATGGAGCCCCAGCTCTGTGCTCAGAGGTGGGAGGTATTGTTCGGTGTACCCCGCCACAGTGGAGCAATGAGCTTCCCACAGGAATGCTCCCCAGTGTTCTTGTCCCCCTCATGTCTCTGGTGCCTAGTACCTAGCAGGAACTCGGGATGTGTTTGAGGAATGGCTGAACAAACGAAGGCACTCGTAACATGGCTATGATGGATGAGTGGAACTCAGGGCGTGAAGGGGTTCAGGCAGAGTCCACAGTGGCAGCAGAGAAACGATTGAGCTTGGGCTGCTTGTCTGTGTTTAGATTTTATCCCACTCGGCCAGCGTATTTCATGGAGGAAGATATTTATACTAGTGATGACAGGCATTAGGCAGATTCTGGCCAGGTGATCATTTTGATTTCCTACCTTGCTGATGATGCCCAGGTAGTTAAAAGTATAGCAAGTGTGGAACTTCTGTCTTAGCAGAGCCACCCTACGCTGTTGCTGACATCCTGACTAGCATGTCCTTGGCCTGGCCCCACCCCTGAGGGAGGCCCCCAGGCATTCTGGTTAGCTCCTGCCCTTTCACTGCAGCAAATCATTAACATCACACTCTGTCCCCTCCTGGGTGCCATGGCCAGCAGGTCAGGGCTCTTCCAAAGAAAGCCGGCCAATTATATCTCTAGTCTGAACAGAATCGCACAAGAGGAGCAGAGCAATGTGGCATATAAATGGAGCCAGGGTAGGAGCAGGCACCCGCTGGCTTTTAGCACCAGGGAAGGTGGCTTTTGAGAGTGTTTCCTCTCAGCCGCTCTCCCTCCCCGTGGAGGGAGCAGCCGCCCCGTTTCTGGCTCACTGGCTCCGCGTGTTCGACTGGGGCGCTGCGCTGCTCCCAAGATCTCGCTGCAGAGTGATAGGGAGCCGGCAGAACAAAGGGAGCCGGCCGGGAGGCGGGATGCCGGCGAGAGATCAGGCCACCCCAGGCAGAGGAGGTTTGTCGCCAAGTAGCAGAGAGTTGGTAGCTGAATTCTCGCCACATCTCCGTCTGCTCACGGTTCTCCGTGGGGCTCCTTCCCTCCTTTTCCTTTGGCCCCTTTTACTCTCCTCCCTCACTTCCTTCTAGGACAAATTTTATTCTTTACTTTCCTTGGACCCCCCAAAAATCAGGCTAATAAGATAACCAGAGTGCAAAGGCCCGAACACTGTCAAGCAGCTAGTTATTCTTTTTCCCCTAATTTGGCCCGTGTATTGGCGTTTTTGCTCTGCGGTGAGGGCCTCTAACCTGGGGTTGGGAGGGACTAACTCCGAGTCTCCTCCGCAGACCGACGCAGAGAAGCACTCGCAGGTGGAGAGGAATTCCCTCTGGTCGGGCGATGATGTCAAGAAGTCCGACGGAGGGTCAGACAGTGGCATAAAGATGGAGCCCGGGTCCAAGTGGAGGCGGAATCCCTCGGACGTGTCTGATGAGTCCGACAAAAGCACATCGGGCAAGAAGAACCCCGTCATCTCCCAGACGGGCTCGTGGCGGCGAGGCATGACCGCTCAGGTGGGCATCACCATGCCCAGGACGAAGCCAGCTGCTCCGGCGGGCACGCTTAAGACCCCAGGAACCGGTGAGTCAGAGGCAGATGCCGTCTTGCATCCACAGGTGTCAGTTGGAAAACCAAAACCGCAGTCACTCTAGCAAGGAATTTTTTTTTTAAGTCCCTGTAAATGCTCAGGTATTTGTTCTTCAGGTGTAGACTCTGCTGTTAACCAGCTTTCAGGCAGGTTCAGATCTCTTCCTCTTTCCAAATGGAAATATGTGAGTAAGAGTTTTTAAAGCCTGAAGATGGTTCCACGGCTGAGGCTGTATTGAATGGGTACAGTCATGTGCTGGGCGAGAGCAAACTCTCAAGGGCATGTGTTTATCAGCTGTTGGTATGTTGAGTTGATGTTTTCCATGATTCAGGGATGTATACAGATGGAGGAAGTGTTTGTTCAGGAAGTCGAGGGTGCCTCCTGAAAATGTTAGGACATCTTTTTAATGGACAGAGGGAGAAAGTTCAGTAAAAATCAGGATCTCTTCCCCAGACACAGCAGTGATTGGCTGGCTTTGCTTTGCTCTGGGTAAATTTAGACTGCTTTGCAAATGAGTAAAATCATCAACATCTCCTAAAAGGCTCACGGTGACAGTAGTAGACTAGATTGTCTTTGTAAAAAGCTCTTTCCTCTGCCTCCCAAGGGTACTGCTCTCCCCAAGGTGAAAGTGAACCAGTTCTTTGGAGGAGGGGAGGATTTTAAACAGACCAAGCTGGATGAGCTGGCTTCTCGGTTTGCAGGTTAACCTTGCTGATTTCTCTCTTAGGAAAAACCGACGATGCCAAGGTGTCCGAGAAAGGAAGGCTGTCTCCCAAAGCCTCCCAGGTGAAGCGCTCCCCATCGGATGCAGGCCGCAGCAGCGGTGATGAGTCCAAAAAGCCCCTCCCCGGCAGCTCCAGGACACCCACTGCCAATGCCAACAGCTTTGGGTTCAAGAAGCAGAGTGGCTCTGCTGCGGGTCTGACCATGATCACAGCCAGCGGGGCCACTGTCACCAGCAGGTCAGCCACACTGGGCAAAATCCCAAAGTCGTCTGCGCTCGTGGGTCGGTCCACTGGCCGGAAGACGAGCATGGATGGGGCTCAGAATCAGGACGATGGGTATCTGTCTCTCAGCTCCCGGACAAACTTGCAGTACCGGAGTTTGCCACGGCCCAGTAAGTCCACCAGCCGGAATGGGGCCGGGAACAGGTCTAGTACCAGCAGCATAGATTCCAACATCAGCAGCAAGTCCGCAGGCCTGCCGGTGCCCAAGCTGAGGGAGCCTTGCAAGACAGCCCTGGGCAGCTCTCTGCCAGGTCTGGTCAACCAGACGGACAAAGAGAAAGGCATCTCGTCAGACAACGAGAGCGTGGCTTCCTGTAACTCAGTGAAGGTGAACCCAGTGGCCCAGCCTGTGTCCAGTGCGGCTCAGCCCACTCTCCAGCCAGGAGCCAAGTACCCCGATGTGGCCTCTCCCACACTCCGCAGGTAAGTGGGGAAATAACACTGAGTGGAACTGGAATATATGGAATGGTTATCCTGGATTCATAATTTCATGTTTCTCAGTTAAAGCAACCTCTGTTTTCTCTACTTTGGTCCTAGGATAATGCTGTTTGGTCAGATGCTGCCAGCAGTTTTGCAGTAAACTGATTATTTTTCCACGTTAGGATAAAAATAGTAAGCCTCTGTAGTCAGTTATCTTGGGTTCAAATTTTGAATTCACCTTAATTACCCACAATGTAAACTTTACAGTTATGCCTCAGTTTTCTCATCTGTAAAATGGGGATACTTATACCTACCTGAAAGTTCTTGTGAAGATTAATCTGTGTAGCCATAGCTGGCTCATAGTAAGTACTCAATAAAAGGTAGCTACCGTCCAGATCTGGGGAAGCAGACAGTTCTTTTCCTTGTCTTGTTAATACTGTGGCTGAGATCTCTCATCATTATGCTAGAGAGTGATCTTGGCCAGATTCTTTTCTCAAATAGTCCAATATTCTCTGCACACTTATTTATAACTTCATGCATAATTCCAAATTAGTCTCTGAAATGTTAACTTCCTTTAAAAAAATACTCTTAAAGCAGAAGAGTTTCTGAAAAGGAGAAATCGATTTCCTATTACCTTTTAAGGTAATAGGAAGAAGGCTTTTTCTCTCATTTCCACACTGGATGGAAATTTTTACATGAAAATATTATTTGCTGTTTTTTCTTAACCCTTTTAAAAAATCTCTACAGCTTTTGCTTGTTCATAGTATCTCATTATAATATCCATATCCACTAGACCATCCTCAAACTGCATGTGCACAGGACAGAGCTTACCTTCCTAGGGAATTTCTTGTCATAGAAAAGAGTAAGTCTCAAGGATAGAAAACCAAGCAGTGAAAAAAAATCAAAATTATGTGCACATGTACATATTTGGGGATGAATCGGAATGTTTGAAGAGACTTCAGAAAGCATTCCACATGAAAGGTATAATGAAGCAGTTCAGTTCTTTGTCTAGACTTGAGTATTAGAATTTCAGTAATGATTATTTTTTTCAGGGGAGGGTCCTATTGGGCTGCTCTTTGTTGTTTTAACAGATTGCCTTGTAAATGAAAATTTTCTCTGCTTCTTGCCTCAAGTATTTTATGTAATATTCGCTCTTTGGTATTATGGATTTCCTTTAGTGACTACAAAGGCATTTTACTAGACCCTTAGGCTAGTGTAATAGAATGCCTGAAAATGCACGCAGCTTCTTAGGTTCTGCATTGAACACCTTTCAGCCAGTTCCTGGCAATTACATTTTTTTGCTAAATCTTGAAGGTGTTCTCAGTGCTCTCATTGTGCCTTAGTATGGAGAAGGTAGATCTTAGGTGGAGTGTGATAACTCTCTTCAACAAAAACTTGGGCTTTTTCTGTGTGGCTACACATAGCAGGATCAGGAGCAGTGAGTAAAAGTGAAGAAAATGGATCAGGTTTTGGTTTTCTCATTGGAAGTGGTTGGCACTGGGATGAGTTACACCTTGAAGTAGTGAGGTCTCCAATACAGGAAGTGTGTAAGCATTCTAAAGCCAAGATTCTGCAATAGGATATTTCATTCTCTGATTGTCACCATGCAAAAGTGTTTCTCATGTCACCAGATATTGTAGTGAGGACTGATTATGAGGTCAGTCGGTTGTTTGTTTTTACAGTAATTGAGACTTTGTAAGGACTGTTTGGAAAAGACAGAGATCAAACTCACACCACTGAGTAGCGTGGAGAAAGGCAACCTGCCTGTCAGTGGTTTCGTCACTTTGCAGAGTTTTAGTGGATGGAATTACTTGCATTACTAGAGCATGAACCGCTCCCTGACTTTAAAGCAATTCTGCCACTCTACCGGGTATCCCTCTGCCGATGGAAGAGGAAGACGTTTGTACCATTGCCTGTATTCTGACAGCACGTTTTTGGTCACAAGCAGGGGGGGTGACGTGGAAGGCATTTCTGTGTGTCTTGTCACAGAGACACAGTTCACACCATGTCTCTTGTCTAATGTCCTGTGAACTCAGCAAGGTTTCTGGTACACCAGTGGGTGGAACTAGCACTCTGGCCCTCAAAGACACAGCTTTCAGGCTGAGCTTTCACTAGAGGATGAATCTGTGAAGATACTTTCTCCCGGTCCCATCCAGATCTAGGCTTAGGTTCTTGACTCTACATGTTGTGCTTAGAGATAAAATCAACCAAATCCCTGGAGTTGGACTGTCATAAAGTGAGTGCCTGCTTTGTGCCTGGGGTCATGAATGCAAAGATGATGAGGACAGCTCTTTTCTTCTAGACATTTCCTGGGCCAGGGCAATTTTCTAGTTACTCTGTTTATGGAAAGAAAGGGAAGCAAGATCTCGGATGAGCATGAATAGTCCTGTAGAAAGTGATTTGCCATTGCCCTTTGGCTCCAGTAGAGCCAGGGTCTCAGCTGCTGTGTAGAACTGGAAGCTGGAACCTTGTGATGCACCAGTGTCCAGGTGGCCTGTCCCACTGGAATGCCTATATCCATTTCAGTAGAAATGACTGTCTCTTCCCCCAGGGACTGCCATGGCTCCTGTACCCAAGCCACACCCTACTCTAACAGCTCACAGCCCCTTGGCTCTGGGGTTCAACCCAAACAACCCTTTGTCTCTTCACAGACTCTTTGGTGGGAAGCCTAGCAAGCAAGTGCCCATCGCCACAGCTGAAAACATGAAAAATTCAGTGGTCATCTCTAATCCTCATGCCACCTTGACCCAGCCAGGTAACCTAGAGTCCCCCTCAGGCAGCGGTGTCCTGAGCAGCGGGAGCAGCAGTCCTCTCTACAGTAAGAATGTGGATATCAACCAGTCTCCTCTAGCCTCCAGCCCCAGCTCAGCCCACTCAGGCCCCTCCAACAGCCTCACTTGGGGCACCAACGCCAGCAGCTCCTCGGCAGTTAGCAAGGACGGCCTGGGCTTCCAGTCCGTCAGCAGCCTGCACACCAGCTGTGAGTCCATTGACATCTCCCTCAGCAGTGGAGGGGGGCCGAGTCACAACTCCTCCACGGGCCTCATCGCCTCCTCTAAGGACGACTCCCTGACTCCCTTTGTGAGAACCAACAGTGTGAAGACCACACTGTCAGAAAGGTTGGTGCTGTGCTTTTGGCTGCCTGTATTTCTCAGAAAGACACCCTTTCAAGAGGCAAAGGATTATGTTAAGAATCCCAAACGTTAATTGACCTTTGCCTGGGAGAGTTCTCGCTTATCGCTGATGTCTTTCGGTAGGAAAGCCAGTTTGGGGATGAATTAAGCTCAGCTCTGCTTCCTGTTATCTTTCTCACTGTGGTTGTTCTCAGTGCTTGGAGCTATTGGAAGTCTCTTGGGGGCAGATTTAATGCATCCAATTGAAATGGCATTCCACCTTTGAAATCCTCCCATTTTACTCTGTTTGTTTACCAATTGCTTCTTTCCCCTCCCCCTGTAATTGTGCAGGCAGAGTGGGTGGCCGGCCGCAGCCATAGGGTGTGTGGCAGGATACTCTTTAGGCAGTGGGGTCGATTTGGTGGTCATCATGGCAAACACCCACCTACTGAAGGGCTGCTGGCCGGAGACAGGAGATCAAGAAACCAAAAGTGTCCCCAGAGCTCCAGGTCTCACTGCAGTTGTGGTGTGTCCATCGTCTCCAGTAGGGAAGAGAGAAAGCCAGGAGCAGCACTGGGAATGAGGAAAATCACTGTATATGACAACGCCTCCCCTTTCTTTCAATCTAATGTTCCTTCTCTTGTTTTCTACCTGCCTGGACTTCTAGCCCTCTCTCTTCCCCTGCCGCTAGCCCTAAGTTCTGCAGAAGTACTTTGCCCAGGAAACAGGACAGGTAATGACATTGTAGGCCGGGGACCCCACCGTGCCTCTAGGTTCCCCTGCCCATCTGTGTCGAGCCAGATGTTTTGTGTAAGGCTGTTGGCCTGAGGCTTACGCTTGTGTTCGTGGCTCCGGTGTAGTATGGTGTAGTACGTGACCCCCGGGCATGCCAGTGAGGGTCTGTTCCGCCGTCCACTGCAGCCCCAGGAGAGATGGGGTTGGGCGGGCCCCTCCTTTCCCAGCGTGGGAAGGAACCTCCGACCTGCACTTGAACTGGGGCAGGCGGCAGAAGCCCTCACTTGCATCTCAGTCTTCCTGTGGCATGCTCCTGCTTCCCACCCTTTCTCCGGCCTCCCTCCCTTCCCCCTCCAAGCCCAGAAATGATCTACCACCCACCGTGCAGCCTGGCCCTCACCTTTGTCTCCCACCTCCTCTGCTCCCCACGCAGTTGGCTCTTCTCCCTTTCAAAGTCCTTCGCTGCAGTTTGGCTCCGTATGTTTTGCAGGCTGCTGTGTTCTGTGTGCCCATTTCCCGTAACGATAATGAAAAAGAATATGTGGAGCGCTGAGACTTTATAAATGAATAGGCTTGTTTGCCCCCAAATGCCCTGTGGGTGGGCCTCAGAGATGGATATTGACCTGAAGTTTGTGGGGGAGCCATGGCTTGGCCAAACATAACAAACAGATGTTGTTTCGTGCTAGAAAAAAAAAATTAATGAAAACCCTCTTCACCCCATCAACAGCAGAAACTTTGTTTTTGTCAGACTCACAGACCAAGCCTTTAAACCCTTGTTCTTTGGAAATCCAAATGCCTTGACTTTATCAGCCAGCAAGTTAGAACACGCCCCGACTCAGGCCCAGGGCTCAGCTCCTAGCTACGTCCAATAAGGACTGCAGAAACTGAGAGGGACCTGGAATTCACTCATGAATTCCAAATATGCAGACTGCAGGCCTCTTGAAACCCTCCAGCAAGTCCCTTCTCTCACTTGAAGTCACCGCCAGTGGCACTGGGGGTGGCCCAGAGTTAGTGGTGTGGAGAAGCTGACATCTCTCTCCGAGAAGCAGTGGTGATGGTGCAGAGATGGGCGACTGGGCGGCGGAAGGCACGGGCTCTGCTTCAAGGTGCGGCCGCCCCCAAGTGTGGCCTTGAACGTGCGGGGTTGCGTGGCTCAGGCTTCCTGGTGACTGGGGTAAAGTGTGCACTGGGGTCAGTGCAGGCCGAGGATGGGGGTTCTTGGTTTCCCGTGGACGTGCTGCGCACCCAGCTGGATGAGGGAGCACTCCTGGTGAAGTGAGTCTCTTTCCCCAGGTCTCTTCAGCCCTTTCTCAGCCTTTCCCTCCTCACTTCGCCTGCTTTTTCTGTGCTTCTCTGAAGTTCTCATTTTTGTTTTAACTCTCCTACAGTGACCCGCACCTTGATAGGAACACTTTGCCTAAGAAAGGACTCAGGTATCTGTGTTTCCTCCTTGCATCCATGCCATGTGGTGTGGCTTTGGGGCTTGGCTGGTGGGGGTTCGGGCTGGGCTGGGGTCCCCGCTTTGGCCACCGCAGTAGGACCTTGGACGACCGCTGCCCTCCCATCCTCTCCATCACCTGTCCATTTGTTGGCTTATTTGCTTGAGCAGAGGCTGTGCTTTTTCAGGCTTAATGTGGTGAAACCATGTCATGAACCACATCCCTGTGCAAGCCAGGAGGGCAGTTGCTGCTGCTTCTGGAGCCAGTGGGTTTAATCACTGAGCACGTCACCATGGCCATGCTGTTCACGGGCTGTCTTCCCAGACAAAGGACATGACTTATAGCATGTTGATTTGTTAGCCAGGACAAGAGCCAAGGAAGAAGGAAATACTACCCCCAAATTTTAAAATATTTAGCTTTCGGCCCATAGAAAATTGCTAAGGACACAAATTTTGCACTTGTCTAAATAATAATTGAAGATCGGGTTAGTTTTTGATGCCCAACAAAACATAGGTGTGATCAGTTTTTGGTGAAAAGAAAGAGAAGACTATGAGGAAGTAGTGTCCTCTCGTTCACTCTAAGTCATGGCTTGGGCTCATTTGGGTGCTAGTCCTGGTAAAACAAGATGCTATAAGTCACCATGGCTCACACCATCTACTCCACTCTGCCAATCAGAGGAACTTCAGTTCTAACGCCTGCCCCGTGGTTGAAATGTCTTATGGTTGCAACTGTCATTTCTCCTGCCCTCTAAGTGCCTCCTTCTTCGTAGCCTGAGCTTCACCCTGCACTGAGCATTATGTGCTTTTGCAAAAAATGGAACTTGGAATGAAATGTTTCAACACTCATGTCTGTCTATAGTTGATAAACCTGTAGCTCATAAGGCTGAGAGCATTTTGAACAGTAATGTGAGGTAGGTATCAATGCTTCCTTTCAATAGGAGCTCAGAATAAAGCCAGTTCTAAGAATCTAAAAATAACAGTATTGGAAAATCCCCCAGCAGACATCCTGTGGGAGGAAGTTCACAGTGTGGCCTCAGAAGGGGGAGCTGGCAAGGCCTCCTGTACCTAACAGTTCTCATCGTGCTGATGTGGGCTGGTTGTTAGCTACCATGCTAGAGGCTTAAATTTAGACCACTTTTAATATGAGTTGGACTTGATGCCCCACTGTTGCCCTAAGAGGAAGCCAACCTCTCTAAATATTAACATTTCAAAATGCTGTATACATTTCTGGAGCAGATCTATCCTATGAAAATGATGTAGCTCTGCCTTCTTTAAATTGGTTTTTTAAAAATTCTGAAGAGGGATACGTGACAGGCTGTCTTCAGGCAACCGATGCGACCTAGAAGGTTACATGTCCATCAATGAGAGTAAAAACGTTAAGGAGGACACTTTTTTTTATTCCCTCACTCTGACTTTCCCTTTCTAGCTCCCTCCCCTCATACACACACATCCAATACCAACATACCAACAACTCCTTTTTTTTTAATACATATGTTTTATATATTTTTATTGATTTCAGAGAGAGGGAGAGAGAGAGAGAGAAACATCAGTGATGAGAGTCATTGATCGGCTGCCTCCTACACGTCTCCCAACTAGGGGTCAAGCCCACAACCTGGGCGTGTGCCCTGACCTGGAATCGAACCTCAATCTCCTGGATCCTAGGTCGATGCTCAACCACTGAGCCACACCCAGCCGGGCAACAACTCCTTTTTTAAGCCAAAAGAATCCCGCAGTTGACGTAATCAGTAGTCACCTCATGGTAATCCGTTTGTAAGTCTAAGGGTTCTCTGGCCACTTGGGTGACTTAGAAATTCGGGAAGCCGCCTGTGGGCATAACAAGAAGAGCATGGATTTTGAAATCAGGCAAAATAGATAGAAATCTTGGTGTGTGACTCAAGGCAGGTGCTCACCAACGGGTCGGCTAGACAAGGTCTGCGAAGGCACTCAGCTCATTGGAGACATTCAGTAACTCATTACCAAACGCACTGGAGAACAAACGAGGAGGTGGACCTCAGGGCTTCTGAGGACACTGTCCTGTGTGAAACCCGGTGATTTCGGGTTTCTTTCATTAAGACTTGCTCGTGCTAGATTGCAACTGTGTCACACCTTTTCGTGTCTGGTTTCTGATCCGCTCTAGTTCATGGCCACTTGTGTGTTCTTAAATGCAGGTGTCATGAGCTCTCTAACTAAAACTCCTCAGAGCCCGAACAGCAGCTTGTTTTATTGCTTCGGTGCAGTCAGGGTGGGGGCTTGGACATGACACCGTCGTGAATCAACATGTTACAGATACGCCCAGTGACGGCTCTTCTGAGCATTCACCGATCTTGCTCCCTTTACGTGTTCCCTCCAAACTGACAGAAATTGCAATTTTCCCCAAAGGCGGCCAAGTAGCAAAAAATAGTTTTGAGAAACTTCATAAGTTTCGGGGTGTGTAGTGATCCGATTTTTTTTTTTTAACACCATCTTTGGATATGTGTTCACTGTCAGCTCCATGGAGTTCATTTCCGTGAGCGTTGATCGTGGTTCATCCAGCCTGGTTTCCGTCTGTCCAGGTATACCCCCACCTCCCAGCTTCGCACGCAGGAAGACGCAAAAGAATGGTTGCGGTCCCACTCTGCAGGAGGCCTGCAGGACACCGCTGCCAACTCCCCCTTTTCCTCTGGCTCCAGTGTCACTTCTCCCTCCGGAACAAGGTTCAATTTTTCTCAGCTTGGTGAGTAGCCACTTTTCATCTGCTGTGCCGATCAGCTCCCTGGGGCAGAGATTAGCTTGTGTTTGGAAGAGACATGTTGGTCATGACATGTGGCCTCATCACTCTCAGGATCTGATCAGCTCTCCGCCACATAGTATGATTACAAGAGATGGATGGCAAAAGAACGAGAGGAAATGGGAAAATTTTTGGTACTCTAATCAATAATTTTCTTTCCGAGCTAACGATCCCATTCTTGAGAAAAATGTACCCTATTTCTAAGACCTGAAGAAGTAGGTTTTCTGGCATGTCCCATGTTTGGTCATCCTCATTGCTTTATTAAGCTAGAGATAAAAATCAGGTTTTGATTGAACAAGTATTCTTGGAAGTGCCTACTACTGACATATGCTTCGACTGGCACAAGAGGGAAAGGGAAAGAATTTGTAACAGTCCCTGCTGACATGTCAGTGGATTCTTTTTTTAGAGCGACAAACACACCCAGACAGACTGATACATAGGGCAAAGGGAAGAATCCAGAGCTTTATAGGAAACCGTGCAGAAACTGAATGTGCTCAGGTAGAGTTAGAAAAAGGAAAGATCAGTTGTGGCTGGAATTAGAGAAGGTTGCATGAACGTGGCAGGATGGGAGCTGAGCCTTGGAAGACTGATCTTTCCTAGTCTTGTCTCCTTCTTTAGAGAGGCCGAGGTTCCTGAATATTGTGAGTAATAAACTCAGTCTTTAAGGACAGGTGTGGCTTGAAATCAAGTGTGACTTAACTCTTTATTTTCATTTAACTAAAGGGATACTTGTGAAATACTGTACTTTACTACAATGACAGGTTTTCAGTAAGAAAGCTAGTTTCAGCTATGGTAAATGTGCCCCCACGGCACCAAAGCTCTTTAGGTACCATTAGTCAGTGTTCCCCATCCAAGGTGACGAGACCTGGGTTCATATTGTTTTTCCCCAGCCAGAAGTCTTTGAGGCAGGAGTTTCTTGTCATACACAAATGCTTCCCATCTGATCAAAAGCCTGGTGGGGCTATTTTGGGCTTTTGGCTTTAGAGAGAATTGTTCCAGATGAGCCCAGGGAGTAATTAGCTCATGCCTGGAAGGTGACACTAGCTTGTCTGAACGTGCCAAGTTGGAAAGCTGAGGCCCAGAGCCTTGCTTTAGAACTGACCCACCTTCCCTCCCTTATTTTTAGCTCTCGGTGTGTAACTCAAATGCTGATGTGACTACCTTTTAGAAAATAGACAAGAGAGAGGAGTTGGCAGGGACGGAGATGGCTGATAACAAGCAGTCTCCTCCTCGCCCCTGTCCAGGAGTTGAACAGAGACAGGAATTTCCAACTTTCTGATTCCATTCCTTCCATTCCAGCGAGTCCCACCACGGTCACCCAGATGAGCTTGTCCAACCCGACCATGCTGAGGACCCACAGCCTGTCCAACGCCGATGGGCAGTATGACCCGTACACCGACAGCCGCTTCCGGAACAGCTCCATGTCCCTGGATGAGAAGAGCAGGACCATGAGCCGCTCGGGCTCCTTCCGAGATGGCTTCGAGGAAGGTGAGCGCGGGGCTGGCGTCTCCCGGGCTGCGGGTGCGCTTCACGCGCCCCTACGCCAAGTTCATTCATTGGCCGGAGAGCCCACCTGTAAGTGCCGCCGGCTCTCCCACCTGCTCTGCGGGTCGGGCCGGAGAACCGATTAGTCGGATCTGGCTCTGACTGAACCCTCAGGACCGGGGAAAGCACCGTGCGCCCCAGAGCTGACTGGGTCCTGCTCCAGGCTTCTCGCTCTTGGTCGCGGGCCATGGCTTCTTGGCACGCGCCCCCATCTCGAGGCTCAGCCGCGGCTCCCCGTCTTGGCGGAGCACGTTCCTGGAGAGTTCGTTTCCCTGTGCTGGCATCTCCCCGTATGCTTTGGGGGGCTCTGGGCAGCCGTGCCTCTCTGCTGCTCTCCAGAATTTCCTGCCGCTTTTTTCAAGCATCAGTATTTTAAGCTTATTGCATTCAGTGATGCCCTGTCCTTCTTTGCTTACTAATTGGGTTAGGCTTTTATGTTCTGTTCATTTTAATCAGAATTTTGAGATAAAAATACTGTGGGCAACTTTGTCAGCCATCTTCCTAACTCAGTTCACGCCTCTTTCCCTTTGTTCTTTCACTCGAGGTGCGAGTTAGGGGGACAGCAGCCAATATGTGTGGAGGGACATGACCCACTCCCCCCAGAGCTCCCCGGAGGTGGGCTGGTCGGACGTTGGAGGCAGTGCAGTACTCCCTGAGTAATGAGTGGTTAAGAATGTGTAGTGAGACTAACCAGGGTTTGAATTCCAGTTTCACTGTTTATTGGGCTTATGATCTTGGGCAGTTACTTCACTTCTCTTTGCCTCTACCTTTTCACCGATAGGATGGGAATAATAATAGTATTCAGCTCACAGAGTTATGAGAATAAATGAAATAATATATACAGATGTTAACCCATAATGTTATCACACGTCACAGCCTGTAGACTCAGCTTCAGCATTTGTGTCCTGGCAGCTGGAAGTCCCCAGTGAGAGGATGGGGACTCTTGGAGCAAATGGAGCCCCGGCTGGGCTGTATCTCTAGTTGTAACCTTTTTTTGTTTTGCCAGCGACAGAACAGAATGTGGGAGGGGAGCCATAGGTCCTCCCCTCTGCTCCAAGTTCCTGTGAGAGTGGGGACACATGCTTAGCATCCTCCTGGTAGGAAAGCACAAACAAACCTGTGATTGTTTCTGAAATCCCTAAACAGGTCAAGAGGAAGAGAAATGCAGGATATAGGCTTTCGCTTTGCCCGGTGTGCTTTTTTACAAAAACTTAAGAGTTTAGCTACAGAGCAGTTGCCCCCTGTTAATCTTTTTAGCGACTTAATTCTCTCCACCCTCATTTGTGTATCATTTGCATCTAGTGATGTCCAATGAGCAGATGCAAGTCTGTAAATCCATATATGGGCACCTGCTGGGACAGAGGATCTAGGAGGGGTGGAGCCCAAGAGACCCAGAGTGTTTCACTGGATTTAAGAGCTAAGAATGAGTGCTGTAAGCACTCAGAGCAGTGATGCTGGAGGCTATGCTGGCCCGAAGGTGAAGGAGTAGGCAGTTTGTCTTGAACCTTTGTTATAGTCAGGTGCCAGCCAAGCACAGCCTCAGAGCATCCCCAGCCCCCCTGATGACAACTTGCCCGTGGAGTGTGCCCTGGGCCGTAGTCATCCCCTCTGCCACATATGTACCGGAGTGAACCGTGTGCAGGACTGAAACTTGCCCACGAAAGCACACTTTGCCTCAGGAGGGTCCAGGACCACTACAGCATCCTCATCAGATCACTTTTCTTTATTCCATCTGGGATCAAGCTGTCAGGTAGCACAACTGTGGAATAGCTGGATGCCAAAGTAGCATTACTTTTGTAAACCTGACTCATGTTGACATGGAGCTGAATGCAGAGAGGAAAATCAACTTTGTGGGAAAGGTTTCCTCTCGATACACTATACTGTACAAATTTGCTGTCGATATGCTATAAACGGAACATTTTCATCTTATGGGAAATTTGGCATCAGATTGATTTTACCTCTTTCAAGGTTATTACAAAAATGGAATAAGACTTATACAATTAGATGGGGTTTTTTCTTTATGTCTCTTTTTACTTAGTTAGTTTTAATTTGTTGGCATTCAATATTATATTAGTTTCAGGTGTACAGCGTAGTGGTTAGACATTTATATAACTTACTAAGTGACCTTCCCAATTACAATATTATTGACTATATTCCCTGCTGTATGTCATCCCAGTGACTATTTGTAACTTTCAATTTGTACATCTTAATCCCTTCCCCTTCTTCACCCAGCTCCACCCCCAACCCTCCTTCCATTTGGCAACCGTCAGTTTGTTCTCTATACCTATGAGGGGTTTTTTGTTTTCTTTCTTCATTTATTTTGATTTTTAGAGTCCACCTAAGTGCAATTACATGTTTTTAATTCCACTGGGTAGAGACTTTTCTCCCTTCTTTGAATTTTTAAGTGTTGCAGAAACATTTGAAAAAAATTCACATCTCATTTTAGAGCCTCCCAATGAGCCTCAGTGAGGTATGTCACATGCCAGAAAGCAGGAAAGAAATTTAGGAAGAATTAGCACAAGTACTTGTGCAACAATTTTGTGAGATTTACTAAGCATCTTTCATTCTGAAGGAAGTGGGTATCATAACCCTGTAGATTAGATATAGGCATGGCCCACATACAACCTTTCAAAGTTATTTCAGGTAAATTCATTTCCATCAGATGCATTATGCAATTTTAAAGTCAACTTTAATAGTATACATTTAGGGAGATGCTTAATGCACTTTGAAAATGGATGTCTTTGGAGTGAAAAAAATCCAGCGGTTGTACCAATCATCCCTAAGAACTTGTGCAGTCTAAATCCTTTCATCTGGAATCCACAGGAGCAGAGCAACTTTTAATAAAGAAACCTCGCATTGCAGTGTGCTCGTGTTTCTCACCCCTGAATTACAGTTGCAGTTCTAATCCTGGCACCTTCAGGGTTAGCAATGAGACTTTGTAGGGGACCGGACCCTGCTTAGTTCCTGCCCACTCTTCAAAGGCTTGAAGTGAAGCTTAGGTGAGATAAATCGTGGAACGCATTTAGCAAAATGACTTTGAAAAGCGTTTATACTAAGTGCTCAATCAGTGGTAGCTATTGTTATAATTGTTACATTGTTTTATTTTATTATTCTCCCCAAAGGCCATTCATTTCATCCCCATTTTGCTTATGACAAAATTGAGACAGAGGAAATGATTTGAGGACTCCATGCAGCCAGGACTAGATCCTAAACCCATGACCCGAGCCATCTGTTTTTCTACTGAATTCTGCCTTGACATTGGGCTTTGCTGGGTCACAGCTGGGCTCTCCTACCTGTCTGAGTGAACTGCGACCCTTCACCGGTGTTCTGTTTTCAGTCACACTTCCTTTGCTGGTTGCGTCCGTTTGCCATCAGATCTGAGCCTCGCTCTCGCTGGCTCCTTTGGCAGACCCAGTGGCAACGTGAGGACGGGTACGACGCCAAGATTCACATTCTCTCTGCTCCCCACCACCTGTGCGGGCTTCGTCGCATCACTTGGGCTTTAATTTACTCGTTTGTTAATTGGGGGTAGAAACTCCTGCCCTGCCTGGGCATATTACCTATAAATTCTCTGTGATGATAAGGATCGCTTCAAACAATAGCACAAAGGAGAAAGCGCTTTGATTAGTGTGAAACTGAGTGTGTATGTGAGAGGCCCAAGTGTGACGTCCGAGCACTTGTTGCTTTGCTGGCCGGAATATGCCCCGCTGATTTCATCTGTCTGATTTCCCCCTACCGCAGCATCTTCTCAAACATTGGTTCTGGCTTGCACCTATCTGTAGATTAAATGAGAGGCTTAGGAAGCCATTCTGAAATATACCGAAGGGCTTTACAAAAAAATCCCCAAACACCCAGAAACCAGTAAACCAGGTCACTTGAGGGCAAAACGAGCAGATCCTGTTCCTGAATGCTGTGTGACCTCGAGCGGGTCATAACCTGTCTCTGTTTCAGATTACACAGTGGCAGAGGAGGCCTAGGTATTCTCTGAGGTGCCTTGTAACTTTAAAATGTTGGCAGGATAGGTATAGAGAGGAAACACATGTCCTGCTTTGGCCGTTTCAGCTTTGTAACTCTCCTAGGCCTTTTTGTCCCAAAGTATCCGGACCACACAAGCCAGGATCTGACTTAACTCCGGTCACTTGAAGGAGGGCCAGCCGCAGTGGGTCAGGCAAGCCACATTCAGTTTGGGGTTGACTCTGAGAACCAAAAAAGCTTTCTCTGGACCACAGCCTTGCTGTTGCTACTGACCAAGTGAGAGGAGTTAATTACAGGGAAAAACAAGTACCTCCACCCGAACCCTGCCAGATGTGTCTGCTCTGCCTGTAGCCTCGGCTTGCACTGAGGTACGGCTGAAGGCAGTGTCAGTGAGTCCGTGAGGTGGAGAAATATAAGAGGAAAACTGGGCATCTTCCAGCGGCCATAGGCCATGCAGCAGCCCTGTGCAGGCTTCTGGAGCAGGCGCCTGGCGGGGCAATGTGACTGAAAGGTGTGATTAAGGGATTCTGTTACCCACATCTCTGCCCCCAGCTTGGCCTCTGGTATAATCTCCCAACTGCTGCTTGTGCACGGGGCTGAATTAGGTTACCCCTTTGGAGCATTAGGTCACTAGGTTGGGACATGAGAAACCTGTGTTAATGTGTGGACATATTAACACTGAAAGCCATTATTGGCTGTTAACACCTTTACTGATTTTTTATGGGGTATGAGTCAGATGGAGGCAAGATCTAGAACTCTAAGGAAGGTGGCTGTGAGCAGTGGTGCAGGGGCAGCCTCAGTGTAACAGGCACCTGCTAAGAGAGAGGAGGGCTGGTCGGGCAAGCCAGCAGCAATGTAGGTTCAGAAGGAGGAAGCCCATCCTGGTGGGGGAAATCAGGGTAATGATGAAAGGCTTCGTGGAGAAGGCGTTTGGGCTGATCCTGAAAGTTTGGACAGACAGAAATGAAATACATCCTAAACAGAGGGAACCAGATGGGCAAAAGCACTACCCAAGGCATGCTCGAGAGCCAAGTGCAGGATTCATAGTGTTCAGAATGAACCACCTAGAGACACCCGAGTGGTACACTGAGCTATTCTCAGGTATCTTGTGGGCAGGTAGCTTCTGCCAACTGCTGATCTAACTTGAGTTCAATCCTTGGGTGGTAAATGAAAGCCGCTGAGTACATGTGGAAAGTTACTCCCGAGCCTCCCACTTTCAGACCAAAGGTGATGGCACAGTGTGGGAATAGAGGCATCCCACCGTGGTCAGGAAAGCTTTGCCCAATTAAAAGGTCTGTGATGTCTCCACAGGCATATTTCTCTCTTTCAAACAAGGTTTCAGGAGAGTACCAAGAAAATGTCATTAGAGAATCTGGTTCTCCAAAAGAAATCAGCCAGAATACCTTGTCCTGGAAAAGACCGTGCTTTAAAATTGCATGAAAGCAATTAATAAAATGTCTCCCTTGGCTGAGGGCAGAAAAGATCACACCACTTGTTTGCCCCTTTGTAGACATGATAGAAATCGAATGAAGAATCTATATATCACTGGATATGTTTTCTAAGCAATGTTTGTAAACAAATGTCCATTCATCTAGAATGAGTTTACTAAGGCCAACAGCCTCCTGTGTTCAAAATAATCAGTTCGTCTTTTGCATATACAAGTGACAGATGCTGCAGGGTATAAAATATACAAGCACTAAATGAATATATTACAAAAAAGAAATAAAATATGCTGGAATGGTAACGGGTTGCCCCTGGGTAATATTTTGAATCACCCAGGTTACGATAGAAAATATGCTTTTTAACACTTCTCTGTCCTTGAAATTTTTCATTAAAGTAATAGTGTATTATTTTGATAGGGGGAAGAAAGTATTTAAAAGGTTATAGAAAAAATGTGGTAGCAGAAAATCGACTGACTCTCTTAACAAATTATTCCTATTTGATGCTGACCTATGGCCATACCAGGAAAGGTGGGGCAAGGTGAGATCGAGTTGCTCTGAGCCTGGACGTGTCCTGTATCGCTGAGTTTCTCCTTCCCTCCCCCCGTTTTTGGCTCCATAGCAGCCAGCTATGTAATTCACCTTTTCATTTCTTTTCTTTTTTAAATAGTTCACGGATCCTCGCTCTCCTTGGTTTCCAGCACATCGTCAATTTATTCAACAGTGAGTATAAATCAATGCTGTGTAGCTATGGTCGTATGAGCCGGGGTTCCTTCATCAAATGTGTCAAGAATAAAATATCAGCATTTTTCCTGGAGGGAATATTTCCATTATAAGGGGACCAATTAATTAGGGAACAAAATTTGAAATTCACAAACAGTCTATTGATTATAACATACCAACCAATAAATCAGGAACTGGCTGCTTTGTTAACGGGACATTCATTGTGCCATGGGTGGTACCGAGTTAGAATGTGTGAGAAGCCTTGGCCACCTGCTGGTAGAATTTGAAAAGAAAGGCCTTGAACAACTTATTAATCTCTCTGCCTTAGTGTCTTTATCTGTAAAATAGAAAGAATAGCTGTCCCTACTTTGTGGAGTTGTAATGAAGATTAAATGTTCTGAAGATTACATTTTGCTACAATATAAATTCCTTGAGAACAAGGATTTTTTTGTTTTTATTCCTAGTTCTTAATAGGTGTTCAGAAGATAGGTTTGCATAAAATAACATGCACGTAGCATCACGAATGCATTGCACGCAGCGGAGTGAGCGCTCGTCACGGTCGCCGTCAGTGAGAGTTAGTGAGCAACAGCCAAAGGCAGTCAAGTGTGGTACTGGACTGGGTCCGCGGTGCTCGCCTTTTATAGCTGTGTGCATAAATATTTGAGAATGCCTATAGGGAGAAAATATTTTGTTAATTGAGACTGAACATTCTTTAGCCCTTAATTCTGTGGAGGGCTAAACTGGTTTTTTTGGTAATTCCATTTTTGGTGACGCTAGGTTTCTGGGCTACAGAGCCGGACAAACCATATATAGCCTTTTATAAGTAAAAGGCCATCCCAGAATCAAACTAAAGAGACCGCGGCCTGACTGTTCCTTCTTAGGCCTGTTGATGTGGTCTGATTCGAAGGACCTAGAAATTCTCTCTCCTGCTCCTACCCACCTCACCCCTCCAACTCCAGAGTACCTCTTTCTTCAGCTAATTGTCTTGTCTGAAATTTCACAATAGAGTCCTGGCTTGCTTTTTTAAGTTATTTATTTATTTATTTATTTATTTATTTATTTATTTGAGAGAGAGGCAGAGAAGGAGAGAGACATCGATTTGTTGTTCCACTTATTTATGCATCATTGGTTGATCCTTGTATGTGCCCTGACCAGGGATCAAACCTGCAACCTTGACATATTAGGACAATACTCTAACCAACTAAGCTACCCGGCCAGGGCCCTGGCTTTCATTTTAAAGGCTTTATATGTAGTAACATTGGAGAGGGGTTCTTTAAGCCACCATCTACTAAGGAGGCATGGGGATGGCCTTCTAGCTATCAGGTCGTCTGTGCACTTATTCTACAATGAAATTCTATGGTATCGGTGCCAGAGATGGTACTTTCAAACCCAGATGCACCTCTTTAACAGTATTACTGGCACTGACTATTTGCCAGGCTGTGGGCTAAGCCCCGAGGATATGGTTTAAGTGTAGAGAGGAGGCTACTGAAAGAGGAAGCCAGAGGCACCAGAGGGCACCAAGGACACAGGACGTGGGACTCTAGTTTCACAGGGTTGGTACAGAGCAGCCATAGCTGACATTTCAGTGCCCAAGCCTCATGTTTTCTCAGTGGAGTTCCCAGGGTTTCCTGTCAACACAGAGGGGTGGGCCCTTCTCAGCAGAGTGAAAACTGGGCGACTGGCCTGCACAGCCGGCCTTGGAGGGGAAAAGCCTGAGCTTCTCCACCTGTGAGAGTGACAGGTAGGAAACCATCACTTGCAATATCTATCCACATGCCCCCATGCCAACCATTGGAAGTTCTTGAAGTCAAAGGTCTCTCTTCCAGTAAGTAGCTCTTGTCCTAGGTAGATGTGAAGCTGGTGTTTTCATTAAATTAGAAATGGTCCTTTCTGAGTTGATATAAATTCATGAATTACCAAAGACCGAATAATAATTTTTCATCCATCTGGATAACAAGGAACCCGGAGTCTGATCTTAGTTTACTGTATGACTTTGGACAAGTCACCTCATCATTCTGGGTGTCTCTCAGTTGCCTTTGGTGTCAGAGAGCTTGGACAAGGTGGCCTCTGAGGTCCCCACAACCTCTGCCAGTCCACCAGTCATGGAGTCAAAGGTTCCCATTTGCTGTCCTTTGCATGTGCCCTCTCTGAGAGTATAGGCTACTTTTGCAGACTTAAAAAAAAAAGAGGTCTAATAATTGGATGTTTTCGTGCCAGACTAGTCTGCTAATTCCAAGGAAACTGCAAGTCTCGCTAGACTCTGAAACCAGCGGGTACTGATGTGTGGTCCCTCATCTATTATTAGCCACTGGGTGATGATGCAGTTCTGAAACAAATGCTCAGGCGCCTTTGTAAATGTTAAGGTGAACAAGCTCTTATTTGTTGTCTACAAAGAGATCTTTGAAGTCTCTGAAGTTGTCACCAACCCAGACCAAAGAGTCTGTTTAATAGCTGAGTGTTTTATAGGCTCTTATTGGATGATAATAGTTTTCCACCCCCTGAAATCTCTATAATTCTTGGATGTTCAAGAATGCCCATTCTGGCTGAAATGTGCCTATAATTTTCATTACAAAAGCAAGAAAAGGCAACATGATGCTGAACAACTGTCATGGAGATGTCGTGGCCAACCCATGGAGTAGAGCATATGTAAGAGGCCACATCTGGCATCAGACTTGCTTTCCTGACTGGTTAGGGAGCAGCAGTTGAGTTCCATGGGGAGCTGCTAAATGCAGGAGGTCTGCAGCTTCATGTAGACTTCCCAGATGTGCAGAAGAGCAGCAGCAGCTGGGGACAAGATACAAAACACAGGATTTCTCCGAGCTGCTGTTGGGAACAGGAGCCCTTCCCCATAGGCAAGTGAGCACAGTGACAGTGGCAGAGGCCTAGGAAGGAGTGTTAGGCCTGTTGATAGAAGTGTTTAGAAATAGGGCTGGTCCTGTATGGATGAGTCAGCCTGCTAATCGGCCTCTGCTAGCCTCCCAAATGTTAAATAGTGCTGACATTCTCCCCATGAACTTTCCCCTTTGGAAGAAACTCAGAAGACGGGGCCTTATTTCTGGAAAGCATCCATGAGACTGTAGCTGTAGTAATAGCAGGAGAACGTGCTGGCTAAGGTCATAGGCTCTGGAGCCAGAGTACCTTGGATCCAGTCCCAGCTCTACCACCTACCAGCTGTGACCACAGGTAGATTACTTAACCCCTCTGTGCCTCATTTTCCTCATCTGTAAACAGAATGTGCTAGTATTAGTACCTATTCCAAGGGTTGCTAGGAGGGTTAAATGAGTATTGAATATAAAGTGCTTGGAAGAGTTGCTGGCATGTGGCACTATTCTATAAATGCTAGTTATTATTATCAGAATGTAAATAACATGAGGTGCGGAACTTGGTCATGTTCACAACTCCAGGTTCTTTAACAGTGCCTGGCACATATAGGAAATCAATAAATATTCAATAGATGGTGATGATGAGGATGGATGATGGATAGACAGACAAAGAAGGGTGGATAAATAAGATCTTGGAGGAAAGAGTGGACCCTGAGGACATCTGTAGGCCTTCTCCTGAAAGAGTTTCTTCGATGAGGAGATTGTCCAGCTGTGTGACTGAAGCAAGATACCTAACCTCTCTGAGCCTCAGAGGTAGTACAAACTAACATATTTTATGAAGCTCTTGCAAGGATTAAACAATTTGGTGCCAGTGTACCTAAAAATTAGTTGCTGTTGTCAAGAGCCAGCCTGGAGGGTCAGATTAATTGAACCAGTTTATTCAGAAAAATACAACAGGAAAGAAACTAATAAATCTTCCAGGCTGCTCTTAGCATCCAAACATGGTATTCCCCGCAGGCTGGACTGCACTGCTCTTGCCCCCAACTCCCCTAATCTCCCTGTGTTTTCTTTACAGCCAGAAGAAAAATGCCAGTCAGAGGTAAGGAACAGTTGCTGGTTGGATTTCCACTTTCACTGTCATCAATTATTTTACCCTAAGCAAGTAACTGTGTCTCTTATCACCTTTAGATTCGAAAGCTGCGGCGGGAGCTGGATGCCTCCCAGGAAAAGGTGTCAGCTTTGACCACCCAGCTGACAGCAAATGTGAGTATAGACACAGGGCAGGAGCCACCGGGAAGGGAGGGGCCACTGCCCCCCTTGAGCATTACCTAAGGCCCCCTGCCCCAGAGCATCAGGGAAGCAGTGCGGTGTAATAAGTAGGACACAGGCTTTAGCGTCGTGGGTGTGAAAGTCGGCGCTGACACTTACAGGCTCCGTGCTTTGGGCAAATTCTTTAACCTCTGAGCTTGTATGATGGGCGATGATAATACCTCTCAGGGTTGTCATGTGATTAGTACCTGGAATATATTAAGTGCTCAGAAATGTTCATTTCCCTTCCCTTCCCTTCCCTTCCCTTCCTCTTGTTGAAAATTGTCATCTAAGGGGGAAAAGGGGTGGGGGGGAAATCTAAGACTCCACAATAAATAGCTGACTGCTCTGTAATTATAATATACACAATTACGTGTTTAGGGGGCACTGCCAACCGGCATTCAATTGAGCAATTGTTTAAGTGCCAACTAAGCCCCAGGCACTGTGGGTTCAACAGCAAAGCAAGCAAGTCATTGTCATCTTAGTGTTCTTTGTCTGGCACAGCAGAGAGACGAAACATGTTATGTTGCTATAACATTGTAACTGTTATGATAGAGATAGGGAAAAGGTTGTGGGAATATGTGGGAGAGGCACCTAACAGTCTCGGTGGGATAGGAGGAGATCAGGAAAGGCTTCCTGGAGGAGGTGACATCTGATGGATACTGTATAGGGGAGGGTGCATGGGGAGGACAGCATTCTAACCAGAAAGAATGATTTGTGCAAAAGCCCAAGGTGAAAGATCTTGGTGCATTTGGAGATTATATAAATAGTTCGGTGTAATTATAATCTATGCCTTAGATGTGGGGAAGAGGCAGGGTAGAGGGGAGAAAGAAGTGGGAAGGAAGGAGGCATCAATGAAAGGCAATGGTCAGGCACATCACAGAGGCTCTCAGCTGTTAGGTGGGAAATTTGGGCTTCCTTCTGATGTTAGTGGAGCCTTCTCAGTGAGTTTTAAGCAGAGCTGTGAGGTGGTCAGGTTTGCTCTTAGAAAGTTTCCCTGTCATGTGGTTATAGAATTAGAGGGGTTAGAGTAGACCCAGAGATCTCTTACCCTTTCAGACCAGTCTGTACAGGACTCCTGCTGCAGGGCTGAAGCTCAGAAGGCAGAGCCTGGGGTTTAGAAGGTGGTGAGATGCCTCTGGGGCCAGGCTTCCTACCCAGGAACGCACAGCCCAGCCTGAGACCACAAATACATGTGTGTAAGCTGACCAGAAAGCAATCTGCATATCCCTGTAGCATGCCAATCATCAAAAAGCAATTTCAGAACGTTGTCTTCCTTGGACCAAGAAGCAGAGTCAAAACTCCAAATTAATATCTACCTGGAGTTTTTGCCCAGGTAGTTCCTGGCTTGAGCCCGAGTCTACTCAAGGAAACCCATTTCTCTTTAAAGTCTGCGCATAAGTGCCTTGCACAGTTCCAGCCCTTGGTTACCAGCTCAGTAATTGGTGACTGCTGTCAATAGTGTTCATTTTTCTGAGCTCTCTCTCACATTTCTAGAAATCTTAATTTTTTTTTTCAAACCCCTAACATACTAGGCTGCTGTGTGTTTTATGATCCTTTATTTTCTTTACCTCATCCTCCATCAGCAATGCTGTCTAAAGAACATGAGAAATTGAGGTAAGATCTGAATTTTGAGGCTTAGATCCTATTCATAAAAACAGCAGAGGTCTTTTTCTGAGGGTAGACTCTTTATCTGGGTCACCATTTGAATCCAGAACCAACCCCAGATCCAATAAGCCAGGATCTCCCAGGTATAATCTAAATATATGAGATTGGACAGTACCCCCCTCCTAAGTGATTCGGAGCTAACTCCCCTAGTTAAGAATTACAGCTGTCAATATTGCCCCTTGCTCATCAAAAAATAGTAACTTACTTATGATGAACTTGGGTTCATTTTTCCAATGACCTCGTGCTCCACGGGACCGTACGTTGGGCCATCAGGAACCCTGCTCTCCGTTCCAGAAGAGGCAGAGTGAGATCCCTTACATGACCATTATGCTAAAAGCGTGTGTTGCTTCTCACAAAAGCCACTGAATCCAGTATTGTTTTAAAGTAAATATTTAGTCTTACCACACACCACCGGCAGTGCTAACGTGTTTTATTGTCTGCCATCTCTCCCACAGGCCAAGCTGTGTTTGTTTTTCTAGGACAAGCTCCTCAAAGCCACCTTCTCTGGGTGTTTTTATACCACTCGTGTTTGTTTTCCCGGGAATGTGAGAATGGTGCTGATGAGAAGGCTGGTGTGAGGCTCTGAACCAGGCTCGCTCCAGCCTCAGCCCATATTTTCATAATAGCCTTCATGACCCAGTCGGTCCTTTTGTTCACCAGCAAAATGCGATCCTCTGGTTCTTCCGAGCAAATGCGGTTTCTTCTTGAGCTTTGCAGAAACACTTTCTCACTAGCAGTCTTCGTGGGGTCAAGTTTCTGTTTTAATTGAATAGAAAATATGAATGCCCGTGAATAGAATCATGGGTAGCAATCAAACAAACATTTGAAATAAATGGAAATCCAGTCATTTAAATTTGACCTTGTTATCCCTTTGAAACGCAGGGATAGTCGTCATTCTTTCTTTACATCCACGCTCTGGCCGGCTACCTTCAACCACTGTGTGACTGTCTTGAATTGAATTGGCTTTGGTTTTGCCACATTCTCCAGGGCAAATTAAAGTAGATCTCTTTATTTTAAAATGCAAAGACAGTTTCTCTATTTTTAAGAGAGAGCGCACCTGCAATCAGAAAGAAACTGGCTAGTCCACTTACCATTTCTATTACAAGTAGCCCTGCTCCCTGCCAGACCCTACGGCTTTTGGAAAAAAGACTCACCGTTGATATTAGAGATGATCTTATCCTCAACTGTTCCCATTTGATGAGGTCTGGTGATAGAAGCCTCTGACTCAGTCCTCAAACTTGTCGTCCTTAAATTGCAGTGTCCAGGGACCCGCCTCACCGCCCAGGGCAATGACTCCTCCCCCACCCAGTTGTTACCCAGCTTTTATTCTTCACTGTGTGCATCACCCATCTTCTAGAATTTTCCAACATGATCAAGTCTTGACTTCTCCCAAGACTCTCAAGTATCGTGCTGGCCCTCTCATTCCTCCTGTAGGTGTATCTACCCACCCCTCTCTAAGAACCCTTTCGTGATCTCCCTACTCCTATGTTCTGATAGTATCTTTTGTCACTTTCTCATTCCCAGACCTCTTCCTTTCCCCCACAGTGCCCATTCATCCCTGTGTTTCACAATTCCTTAACCATTTATAGACCATTTCCACCTATATTGTTTCATTTAGTGCTCATAGTAACCCTGGGAAGAAAAAAAAAAGTGTATATGCATATCCCATTTTATGGATGAAGAAACCGAGGCCAATAGGATTAGATGACTTGTCCGTTCTTTATTTTTGGTTTTAACACTATTATCAAGATCCTCAGTCAATATGTCACCTGCAGTTCTGTGGAAGAAGGAGGAAGGCTTGATGTTGGAACACAAAGCTGCATCTTGCCCTTGAAGAGGATTGCAGAGAAGGGGGAAGATAGGGAAACCACATTTCTCACTTTTAAGATATACTTTTTTTTTAGATTTTAACGTCTTTGAAAAGATGCATATTTTAATTATAATTGGCAGCATTTTTAAGACTCTCTTAGTACATATAAAATAATGGTGCATCTGATGCCATTGAGGTGTATAAAAGTGCAGGGGAGCTCAGGGGATGGACATAACTCCCTAGGGAGCAGGGGAGGGGCTCTCTAAGGAGGGAGCAGATGGGCCTTTCAGTGGCTTTTTATTAACCAGGATTATAACAAGCAAAATACACCAACCACTTTGTTCATTCATTCTACAAACACACTTAATATCAGCCTCTGCTGTGAGCTTGGTGTTTGATGAACAGAAGGTCGTCCTGCTCTGTAGTAAGAGACATGCGCATCACCAATTACAAGAGTACGTGTATTCTTGACTGTGATACCACACAGCAGCAGTCCAGTGTGCTTTTCAGTGTAAATGTGAGGGAACCAACCCCATCATGGGTGTCATGAAGGCAGGAGCTGAGATCTCTTGAGAAGGATATGCAAAGATTAGTTAGACAGAGAAGCAGCTGGAGGTAGAGCATTCCAGGCCGAGGGGAAAGCACGTATAAAAGCCCTAAGGTGGGCAGAAACATGGGGCGTTTGAGACATGAAAAGCTACAATAACTGGATCCCAAAGAGCACCGGGCAGTGGGCTCAAGAGGCTGAAGAATCAGACGGGCTAAGTCACGTGGCCCTGTGAGGCTTTCAGCCCATGAGACCTGGCCCTGGCACCGTTTAGGCACCCTTGCCTTACAAAGCATTGTAACTCAGGCTGCGTCTCCCCCTCCAGGCTCACCTCGTGGCGGCCTTTGAACAGAGTCTTGGAAACATGACCATCAGGCTCCAGAGTTTGACCATGACGGCTGAGCAGAAGGTAAGGCAGAAAGGACGCTTTTTTCCCCTCCCTGATTGGACTTAACAACACACCTAGAAATAGTATTTCTTTCACTCCAGGTAATCCTATAGATTTTAGTGTACTTCTGGAACCATTGGAACTGAATTGTAAAGAGTAGGTCTGTTGAGTGAAAATATGACTTCGATGGAGAGGTGATAACTGTATCAGTAACATATTATCATAGTCCTATTCCCGCTGTTTTCATGTGCTCAGTACATGCTGAAAATTAACCCAACTCAGTGTTTGAGACAAAGGTTTTTTAGAACTCCTTTGTTCCTTACTGTCCTCTGTTGAAACTTGCACTTCAGTTGAACTCCGTACAGAGAATGATTATAGAATAACCAGTATTCTTCTTCTCTGCTCCTCAGGATTCAGAACTGAATGAGTTAAGAAAAACCATTGAGTTGCTAAAGAAACAGAACGCAGCTGCCCAGGCTGCCATTAATGGAGTAATTAACACACCGGAGCTCAACTGCAAAGGTAAAGGAACAGAAACAGCCTTCAGGCCAAC